CTGCTGGGGAGCACCAGCAGCAGCAGCAGCAACAGCAGCAGCAGCAGCAGCAGCAGCGCGTGCCTTTGCTTCTGCTCCGCGTTGCAGCACTGAGGTTTCTGGTCTGCTCAGATGAATTAATTAATAAAAGAATTAATTAGTTAATTAAGGAGGCAGCAGTTATAAGTTTCTGTTTGCCGAGGCAAATGCATGCAGTTTCAGTGACGGGTTTGCAGCAGCTGCAGCAGCTGCTGCTGTTATCTGCAGCAGCCGCAGGTGCTGCTGCAGTGTACGTACACCGCAGCTCCTGGGTTTATGTTTGTTTTTTGCCAGCGGACCCGATGCGGCAGGTGGAGGGGGGAGGACAGCATTACTTTTTGCGTCTGTTTGCTGCTGCAGCAGATTGCTGCAGCTGCTGCTTGCTTCGTCGAAGGCAAGCGCAGCAGCAGCAGCAGCAGCAGGCGTTCGAGCAACGGCCGCTGCAGCAGCCCGGTGCAGCAGCCCCAACAACATAAACACCGCAGCAAAGGAAACAGAAGGCACAGCAGCAGCAGAGGCGCGTCAGCAGCACAAGCAGCAGCAGCGGTTGCAGCATGATGTAGCAGCAGCAGCAGAAGGAATAGCAGGAGCAAAGCAGCAAATCAGAAGACAGGAAGAGCTGCAGCAACAGCATCATTTAGCAGCAAGAAGACAATCGAAGCCTAGCAGCAACAAGCATGAGACTACTGCAACAGCAGCAGCAGCAGCGGAAACAGCAGCAGCAGCAGCACAGCTAGTAGGAGCAGAAGACACCCAGAGCAGCACCGTGTTAGCTACGACGAAGACAACAAGAATAGCCGCAGCAGCAGCAGCAGCAGCGCGTGTAGCGTAAGCAGCAGCTAGCAGCAGCAGATGCAAGTGACGTCGCAACAGCAGGGGCTGCAGCGGAGGCAGCAGCAACAGCATCAGCAGCAGCAATGCGTTTAGGAGCAGCAGCGTATGGCGAGCAAAGCAGCAGCAAACTAGGAGCAGAGATACGGAAGCAGGGATACCTGAGGGCGGAGCAGCAGCAATCGCCGTAGCAGCAGCAGCATGTCTAGCAGTTACAAGCGCAGTGGTCACAGCAGCAGCAGCAGCGGCAGCAACAGCAGCAGCAGCAGCAGCGACAGGGACACCTTAGTAGCAAGTGCTGCGGCAGCAGCACCAGAACCTAGGAGCAGCAGCGGTATAGCAGCAGCTAAAGCAGCAAACGTAGAAGCAGAGGGGGATGCAGCAGCAGCAACAGCACATGTGATGACCTCGGGAGAAGTAGAAGCACCAAGAGCAGCGGACATAGCAGCAGCAGCGGTTGCAGCAGCAGCAGCAGCAGCAGCACATGTAGCAGCAGCAGCAGCAGCTCTCTAGAAACAGTAGCAGCGGCAACAGCAAAAACAGCAGCAACGTAGAAGCAGCAGCAGCAGCAGCAGCAGCGCATATAGCAGAAACGAACGAAGACTTAGCAGGAACAGGAGACGCGGGCCTGCACGTAGGATTGGCTGCAGCAACACCACCGGTGCCGTATTTTAACAGCAGCAGCAGCAGAAGAAGACACAGCAGCACGGACAGCAGCATGCATTGCTGCAGTGGCAGCGCAGTCTGCAGCACCAGCAGCAGGGTTTGTAGCAGCAGCAGAGCACAGCATCAGCAGCATTTGTAGCGGAAGCAGGAACCAGTCGACGCAGCAGCAGCCGCAGAGGCAGAAGCAGCAATAGGAGCAGAAGCAGCAGCAAAAGCAGAAATAGCAGCAAAAGCAGAAGCACCGGCAGCAGCAGCAGCAGCAGCAGCAGGAATGGGAGCAGCAGCAGATGCAGCAGCAGCAGGAACGGAAGCAGGAGCAGAAGCAGCCGCAGCGGAAGCAGCACAAGCGGCAGAAGACACAGCAGAAGAAAAAGCAAAAGCCGCAGAAGAAGCACAATCAGCAGAGGAAGCAGCAACAAACGCAGCAGCAGCAGCAGCACAAGAAGAAGTAGAAGCAGCAGAAGCAGCAGAAGCAGCAGAAGCAGCAGAAGAAGCAGCGGCAGCAGCGTAAGAAGCAGAGAGAACGAATGTAGCAAGATCTGGAGGGCACAACGTAGTTAGCAGCAGCAGGAGCCGCTGCAGCAGCTGCAGCAGCTGCAGCAGTACAGATGCAGCATAGTATCAAAGATAGGAAGAAGCAAATGCAGGTAGCAGCAGCATTAGGTGCTTTGGCAGTTGGAGCAGCAGCAAGTGCTGCTGGAAGCACAGCAGCAGCACCCAAAGTATTAGCAGCGGCAGTCTGCATTTGAGTACAGCAACAGCAGCAGGCAGCGCTGCAGCAGCAACAGTAGCAACAGCAGCAGCAAATGTATAGCAGAAGCGATGCTGCTGCAGCGAGGATGCGCAGCAGCAAGGCAGCAGCAGCAGTAGGATAGCGAAAATGTAGTCCACGCAGCAGCGGAGCAGCAGCAGTGCAGCAGCAAAGCAGCAGCATAGCAGCAGCAAAGCAGCAGTGTTGCAGCGCAGCAGCAGCACTGCGGCAACGACAACGGCAGGACCGCA